GTCGAGAAGCAGGTCTAAACGAACTTCAGACGAGGGAAGAGGTACTAAGGAACTGCAAAAAGGCAATCCCATCTGACTCGATCAAGGTATGAGCTTAGCTACACCGATCTCTCGTCGAGAAGCAGGTCTAAACGAACTTCAGACGTGAGAAGGCAATCTCATTAGACTCGGTCGAGGTATCTTCCCGAGTTCTAGCCGAAGATACGGTATTGGCCTCACACCTTATTCAAATGATGGATGAATCGATCGCGATGCAGGTAACTCAGATGACACTCAGGGCTCGTCTTGTTTACTACAAGGGTTCTACTGTTGATACTTTCGGATCGAATTGCCTTACTGACTAGAGGGTTACTGACGAGGCTGCTGTTCTGGTGAGCTTTCTGCATAAAGTTCCCTTTTCTTTTATTTTCATCTCGCATCAGAACAAAGCTAGTGGTAACAGAACAAATCCGTGTGGTTCGGCTAACAGCCTGGTCATAACAGGTTTGGATACCTCCACAAATCCGGGTAATTTCATTTTTTTTTAACTATAATCAACGTTCCAGGGAATTTGAGCTGCCAAACAGAACTCGTAAAAAATCAGTCCTCTGTGTACAGGGTGGAAAATTTGGTCCTCCAGGAGTCTTCGAATCTGGACAGAGGGGCGCGCAGAGAGAGAACGATACAACGCTAGCCGTCGAGCGGGATCAATCCCTGTTAACTACCTAACGTCTCTTTCTACCCTGTTCATGGAATGACGATTGCAATGCTTATATTGTTTCGACTTCATGGATGATGTTCTTTGCAGGACGTAATGTCATTGTTAGCACTTAAACTTTTAAGGGACATTGAGAAGTTCATGGCACTGTCCGTCATCTGGTGAACCCTGATGAAGGCGAGATCTCAACTTTGTTCATAATGTTCTGTGAATCTTCAGAAGCGGCCTGTCGAGTTTATGAAACAGTGTGCCGGTATACTCGGAGGGTGGGGTTTCTGAATCTATCTGCACCAGGGAAGCCGACAAAAAAATTTATTGATACTTAATAATAATTATTATTATTATTATCTCTTCTTGCTTGATTTCAGAAGTAGAGTGAAGGATAACCTCCTGCCAGCTTGAGGGTCGGGTGTAACAGACTAAAGGCAGGCCTCAACTCAGATCAACAGTCTTTCCCCTTGCATTTAATCTTGCTTTTCCCGCGTTCTCGACTTTTGTAGGGTCCTACGATGTCACCTCTAAAGTAGGAATGCAACAGGCAGTATAAACTCCAACAAACCCTGCTGGTCGCTGAGGACCTCGGAAGCGGGCGCAACGAGTGACAGGCGTTGTAGCCTTTGGCTTCAGCGAACAGTGGGCGAGCCCTCCCCGAGTTTCCTCACAATTTTGGCGCCGTTGCCGGGGAGGGGATCGCACCCCGAAGGCCGCGGCCTTCCCTTATCAACGAGGGTGCACAGGCTAATTAGCTTGATTAGTGGATTATCTTATTATTATTATTATTATTATTTTGTTTTTATTGATCGGTTTTTTAGATATCTCCTGATCTGGGTATCTTTTGCGCGAGCCGCCCCCGGATCAAAGTTCGTCCTTGCATCAGGGCAAAAATTTTGGTATCTTTTTCGAAAAGATCTAACGGCTAGAATTTGAGATAATTTTTTTTTTTTTTTTTTTTTAAATATTATTCCGAGAATCTTATTTTTCTTTTTATTTTAATTACGGGAAATTGAAGCGGAATTCGGGGACACCCGCTTGAGGCAAAGTTGTCCCATTTATTTGTCCTGACATTTTGAGACCTTGGTCGCGAAAAACGGGTTTCGTTTGTGGAAAGGGCAGCCCTCAAAGAAACGAAAGGAAAGAAAAATATAAAGGAATTGTAATTTTTTTTATTAATTTATTTAAAACAAAAGGGACAATAATAAAAAAAATGTAATCCGATAACTTTTAACTTTGAACCTGAAGGACAAAGCCTAGCCAACGTCACTCCCATTGCGCAATGTGGCTTAAAGCATCCAGCTTACCCAATTGGGACCAACTCGATGGGGACCGCAGCATGTTGGAAAAGAGCGGAAAAGGCTCACGAGCTATTCGGTCTTCACGCTGGTCCGGGGTTTACGGTCCATGTGCAGTCGCGTGCAAAACCCTTTACCCTAATTGGGGGAGACCCTAATTAGGGGAGACCCTAATTTGGGAAAACCCTAAAATGAGGATAAATATAAAAGATTATATTAGAAATCAAAATTAATTTTAAAATTTAACCCTAAACCTTGTAACTGACGAGAACCGAGGAGACTCGGGCTTCTTTTGCGTGGGGTATACGTGCGAAAGAAAAGGGAATTAATCTGACTTTCTGCTAATAAAATTAATGAAAATCAAAATAAATATCTAAAAACTAATTAAAAATCGATTTCTTGCTTTCCATGTATATTACTTTTGCTTTTTCCTTCGGCATCGAGGGACTTGTCCCGAACCCCATCCCAATGGGGGGAGGGAAAGTGCTGTCGAAATTTGTAGAAATTTCCTAAAATTAATTTGGATTTTTGTTAATAAAATTAATTTGGATTTTTGTTAATAAAATTAATAAAAATTAAAATAAATTGTAAATACCTAAAAATTTGTTAAAAGTTATTTTTTTGCTTTTAGTTATTTAACTCCCGTTTTCCTTTCGGCAACCTTAGTCGAGGGACTTGTCCCGAACCCCATCCCAACGGGGGGAGGCGAATTGCTACCGGAATTTTTGGAAATTTCCAAAATAATTTTCTACGGCCATAAATTTTGAAATCCGGCAGGCTTCGATATATTCCGATCTTTAATAGATATATACAATAAAAAAAGGAATTTATTGGAACTAATTCTATTTTTATTCAATTGATATTTGAAAAATACAAGAAAATTTGCGAAAGAAGGATTGAAAAAAGGTGACGGGACGTATCCGTCTTATCCGTCTTAGGGTAGGATCTGTCTTGCCTTTCTAAAAGATTAATACAAGAAAAAGAAAATTTCCTTAATTAAACCACCAGTACCTCTGCCAGTGTTGGGAAATTACAATGTACTGCCCATCATGAATGTGGCTATTCTTTATTGGATTCCAGGCTCGATTTGGTTCAGTATAAAGACCGAAGGCTTTCTGTTTGTATATGTTTGGGTTCGTGCAACATTTCCACGATATCGTTATGATCAATTAATGAGACTTGGCTGAAAAGTCTTCTTGCCTTTATCATTAGCATAGGTAGTTTTGGTCTGGCCCCGAAGAAATCGGTGGTGGGACCCAGGGTCAACGAGTCCCATAAATCTTAGTTTTTTTTTGCCTGAGCGTGGAAGAAAAAGGAAAAAAAAAAAAAGCTTATGTACTGCAATGATGTCGGGCAGAGTAGTCTACGAGGCCGTGCTCACAGTCTTCCTCTACAGAATGCATCCTAAAACAAAGACGATCACATTTTGAAACTTGTTTTTTTTTTTTCTTTTTTTTTCGTTTGTCTATTATGAGTCCCCTGCCAACGAGGCTGGGCGGAATCCGTGATCTGCGCTGGCTGTGTTTCCTCAGAGGATTGTAACCCTAATGTGTCCAGCCATTTTCACGGCTGAATGCGTGTTTTCGTTTTTTTTTTTTTTTTTTTTTTTTTTGCCGTTTCCAGAATCTGACAATCTGAATCCGTGATCTCCTCGGGCTGTGTTCCCTCAGAGAATTGTAACCCTCATCACACTGACAGTCAGAGGAACGTATCCAACCATTTTCACGGTCGAATACGTGTTTCTGGCTTCTTTTTTTTTGTGTGTGTTTCTGGAATCTGACAACCTGGCCACGGGGCTGAGATGTCCTCACTGAGAGCACACTCACACTACCACTTCCAAGAATGTACACAATTGCATTCATGGCAAGAGCATTTTTTCCTTTTCTTTTTTTGTGAGTTTCACGGCTGCAACTTTTCTTTCATTTTTTCCTTTTTTTTTTTTTTCTCCCTGTGAGAGGACCATAAAGAAATGGAGTGGGACCCAGGCTCGGAGCGCAGTGAAATTCAGGGTCGACAAAAACAAGCTCGGAGGTACTGGTGGTTTAAACCTAATTTTAAGTAATTAATCACTGAAAATTTGAAAAGAAATCCAAATAAAGAACGAAAAGGAGTTGGAGCTTACTTTGACCTTCTTTTCGTACTTGGACTTAATCCCCTTAGGTACTGAGGGTATAGTACTGTTTTTTTCACGTTTATTTTGATTTTAAAATAATTAAAATTCTTAAAATTCCTTAAAAATTATGTAATGACCTAAAAATTTAAAGTACGAGTGTCAACTGATTACATTTTAAGTTTTTGACTAGGGGACGAGTTCCGCTGTTCAGAAGCGCGCCTGTGGGAAGGATGGGCCGAGTTCCCTCGAATAGAGCACGCACCTTGTATTAGAGGAAACTTGAGTAAAAAGCGTGTAAGCTCCGTTCGAGCCCGGTGTTCGACACCTTCCATATCTAGATTAGCTTAGGCTCTTTTCTGGTACCTCGGTAGGCAGCTTTTTTATAGGGACTTGTCCCGAACCCGATCCCAACGGGGGGAGGGTAGATGCTATCAAAAATTTTCTAAAAATTTGAGATTCTTGACCTTTTCCCTGCCCCTCTTATTCTTTCCACGGTTCAGACCAAGAGAGGGGTTAGCTCGAGTGAATGTGGCCCCCAACAGCAGTAGAGGAGTTCCCCATCACGGTGGAATGGTGGCCGTGTGAACCCTCGGAACTACTAGAAGGGGAACTGGTCGAGCTCACTCTTCCCTCCATCCCGTCCCTGAAAACGACAACTTTTCAAGATGGCGATCGATACTTTTGTGGCCAGGGGTCTAGCTGTGGATGTTTCGTGAGCTCAATGGGATGAAGGACAATAGAGGTGGCAACATTCCGGAAACTTGGTGCGAAGTGAAGGGCTTCCTTTACCTAAGTGTCGAAACCGCAAAGAAAGCGGCATTGTCCCTTGTTACCTGGAAGTCGTACACGGTCATTGATTGGGCCAAGCGATACCTCCGAGAGGAGATAGATTTGTTTCGGGCCAAGGAGGAGGAGGACGTGTGAAGGTGGCCTAGCAGGTACCTTGTTAGGGAAGTCTAGGGTGAGCTCCGGATTGCCGGACCAGGATTCTTCCCTTACTGGAGCAGACGATTGAGGACCACTGTTCCCACGTTCGTAGTGGACGAGCTGTTAGGAGTGGGGGGCTTGGTTGAGTCATACCTGACGCTGCAGGAGCTTAGTTGCTTCTCTCGTAGCGACCTCGACATGGACTATATCTACTATTCTCTTCTGACGGGAGGCCTGCGTTGGGGCGACGAGAGACTCCAGCTTATAGAGCTGGTACGGTCTAAAGCTCCTACCCCGTATAGGGATTGGTCGAGAAAGGCGTCATCAGAGTGGAGGCATCCTCCGCTAGCATACGTGTGGGACCTCCTAGACAGAGAGCTTAGGGCCAGGCCGGAGTACATCGCTTCAGTGGGCCGACTCTTTGTAGACGACTGGGACGCCTGGTGGAGTGACGCTCTTATATCCCCGCAGTTGATTGTGCGGTACTACGAGAGCATAGGGGCATCGAGGTACGCCCTAGAGCCGCAGATAGACGACGGTGACGTTGACGACGAGGAGGCGTGGGAGCCCGACTGGGTGGATGCCGACGAGGAGGATTCCGAGTCGGAGGATGAGATAGAGGAGGTTGAGGAGGTGGACGGCGCTGCTGCTGGGTCGATCCATTTTCCGAGGCTAGTGGTTGGGTTCAAAGCCTAGGCGTGTGGACGCGACAGGGAGGCTAAAGGCAGGCCAGATGGAGAGATGTGACCGGATCTAGATGGGCAGACATACCGTCTTCCTTAGACAGGTATGTTGGAGTCGTAGGTCGTCTGAGGAGCGAGGACCAACTAGAGAGGAGATTGAAAAAGTGATACAAAACCTGAACGAGAGGACTAGGAAGGAGATACTGTAGTACAAACTTATTAAGTATAAGTATGTTCAGAAAGGTGACATAGAACATGAGCGCCTGTACGTCCTCACCTACCGCATCATCGATTTGGATGAGTACGACGTGCGGGTTTACCTGCCTAGGAGACGGGCATGAGGGTATCTATACGGGAGCAGTTGGAAGAGAGCGGCTAAGTTGGTACAAGCTGAGAAGGAACGACTAGAGGCGGAAGGGAAAACAGTTAGCTGGAGCGCAGAGATTGAAGTATTTGACGAGATTCCAGCTCCCCCGATCATAGGGAGGAACTTGTCTAGGTTCGAGTGGCGTGAGACGGTGGAGTTGATTATTAGAGTGAGAGCTGCGCAGACCGATCTGTGAGGCAGATGGGCAGATGAGGAGCGACTCGAGTGCGTGGTGGGCGTACCTACTGCAACGCGATTCTGATTCCTACAGGGCCAAGAGGTTGATTAAACCTAGGGAGACCGCTTTAAGGTTTGATATCCCTCTTCCAGTGCGCTTGGACGAGAGCGAGAGGACTTGACTAGGTATGCGGGGACATGGATAGCGGAAGGTGTGTTTCTGTGGACAGTGATCCTAGAGAATAGAGGAACGAATGACGCTCGACAGGTGGAGGTTATAGGACACCTTGTGTTCGACAGGACTCAAGACCTTGAGATAGGACTAACGCTCGTTGGCGTTAGCACGACCTGGTGGAAGTACGAAGCCTTAGCGAGAGCTATTTTGAGTCGACGATTAGCCAGTTTGGTAGGAGATAGTTAGTCCGTAGTCTGCATCGTATTTGGACCCCCAAAGCCAGACCTCTACCCCGTAGAAGGCTGGAGGTGGGCCTTGCCTACATTCGTAATAGAGCAGGTGTATGGAGGCGTCGACAATTTGAGCAGAGCGGTTGACGACACGTTTTACACTATCAGATTGGGGTTAGAGCTTCAGTTTAAGGAGGCTTACTTCGCCATCTGTGTGAGGTGGGGGCGTTTTGATTATGAGACGATTAGAGGACTGATTGCCGCGACCTGCCGGGTTGATTGCCTAAGGCTAGCCGATCTGATCGTGTATTGCCGAAGGCGTGTCGAAGACAAGTACGTTGGCCTAGAGGAGTTGAGATAGCTGTACGAGAGCAGTTAGTGCAGGTATGCCGGGTCGGACGTCCGCAGGGGTTAACGTGAGTAGACCGTTAGTGAATGAAGACTTTACAATGACAATTTTACTCAGAGCAAACTTAGAAGAAGATCTGACGGAACGAGAATGCTTGCAACGGGCTAGGGAGTTCATTCACGAGCACCAAGCAGGGGTCCTTATGTGCGTGACCTTTCAGACAAAGGTGACGTACGAGGTGATGGTATGGTTGGCAGACTACTTGCGTGTGGAGTTGTTTTCCGATGAGACGGTAGCGGAAGCGAGGAGTAGAGTATGAGTCGCCACTCTGGGTTGGCATGACGCAAAGCGAGTCTGTATTGTACAGGCACAGACGACGAGCGTCGTATTCTCTGCGGTGGGATCACCGAGGTTCCGATTCATGGAGGAGTGTTGACGATAGGAATCCTCGAGTGATCGTGCAAGAAGTGGTGTTAAGGCGCCGACTTCCCGTGGATGAGCGACACCAGCCCTCCTCGCGACGATTGTCGTATGTGAGCATGGTCCCGAGACGCTTAACACGTGATGAGGCGACACTGCAAGTTCCTTTGGCGGTAAGCATAGATGAGGACCTATCGGACAGTGAGTGCGGGGAGCTTGCGGAGGACGTCATACGGGAGCAGAGGTTAGGAGCGCTAAGGGAAATTACGAGCCAAAGGTGGATGATCTATTTCTGTGTAAGAGGAGTTATACGGGTGGAGATCGTGCAAGACGAGACGCCAGTGGAAGCACGAGCTAGGATGTGAGGAGATCTAAGAGGCTGAGTGAAGATCGGAGATCGAGGATGGAGGATGAGAGACTGAAAAGAGTGAAAGAAAGAATTATAGAACCTGTGTTAAAAAGGGTCAAGGACTTGGCGGAAAGAATCAAAGCATGCGGAGTCTGCGAGAGCGAGGGTAAATTGCGTAGAATAGAAAGGAGTACGAAGGAACTAGAAAGCTTTGAAGTTGTCATTAGCTGTTGAAGGAGGGAGATTGGGTGTCCCAAGGGGGGAGGGTCGATAAGGTAGGCCTGGTTCACCTAGTTCGTCCGGATGACATGCTGCTCGAGTGGTACAACACAAAAAGAAACGGGGGGCTTGAGGGGAGACGAGACCCCTTTCAATGGATTTTGAAGGAGGAACTACACCGCATCAGGGTAGTGGAGGAAGGAGACGACTGCCAGACTTTCCTTCTTGAGATAGCCATAGAACATCTCCCAATCGACCCACTAGAATGGATCTGGAACCCTGACACACAGCATAACCCACGACAACTAAAACCTAAAACACCGTCGGGGCTCTCGGTGAAGGCGACATACCGAATCCTTAGAACTAAGCGTTGCCTAAAAGATATGGTAATCGACAGATGGCAGAAGCACCTCAATATGGAGAGACAACTTCTTACACCGATACGATGGTTCTGCGACACCAAGCGCAGACCGACGAAAATTACATCCTTACAGTGGCAGATCTTGCATCGGTGCTTACTTACAAATGACTGGCTGATTGATCATTCGCGGTTGGAACAACAAGGCCGAGCGCTCCCTTGGTGTTCCCGCTGTCTGTTGGGTTTCTCGGCTAGGAAGAGAGCAAAGACAATTGAACACATATTCCTGCAATGCCCAACAACAATCTTGACCTGGCGGTGGTGGGATAGAGTGTGGCAACAAATGGTCCTGGGCCACCCTTGGGCGTGGGATTGGCGGGCCATCCTAATGTGCCACTATCCACCCTTCCAAGACAGCACCTTTGTGTCGAACATGTTTCATTTGTCTCGAAGAACGATCCTGTGGGTTCTATGGTGGCAACGCTGTGTCCTAACTTTAGACCTGGTTCGGGTAGAGGGAGAAGAGAGACTGGAACAATTCAAATCACACTTTCAACTAGAGCTCTCGTTTAGGTGGAAGTTAACTAAGCAAACACTTGACAATTTTCAAAGATCTAAAGACATCCGGGAGCGGTTACTACAATTTTCAAGGGAATGGTTGGAGGGGGACAGAGAAGGATGGGTAGCGGAAGTATGCTGGACTGGGGACTGGGAGGGAGAACAGGGAAGGGAGGACAGACAAGGAGAGGTAGTCCCAAGGGACTACCATCTGCGATTCAAGGAATGGCTTGAGATAGACTCGAACATCCCCATGAGACCGGCAGAGGATTTTCCGGACCCCTTCCCTCCCCACTCGAGGTCTCTGGAAATACGTCTGTAAATCCCCTACATTCTCAGAACCCATTCTGCTGTTTTATTTTGCTTCAGGCGGCTAAGCGTCCATTTTCTGCTTTTATTCCGTCTATTTTTGTCCCACCCTGTCTCATTCGGTCTTTGTCTGTTTTGTAACCAGCATCATGATGCAATGAGGGCGGGTGGCAGTGTTTGAATGATTAAAATTTTTTAGGGGATGGGCAGGGTGATGGAAGGAGGCTCCACTGGTGCCCCCCCAGTGGCTCCCCCCAGAACCCTGACCAGATAAAGGGCTGGAGGCTAAGTCTCCACTTTCTGCCTTTACTCCGTCCATTTTTGTCCCACCCTGTCTCATTCTATCTTAGTCGGTCTTGTAACCAGCATCATGATGCAGTGAGGGCGGGTGGCAGTGTTTGAATGATTAAAAGTTTTCAAAAGTTTTTAGGGGATGGGCAGGATGATGGAAGAAGGCCCTACTGGTGCCCCCCAGTGGCTCCTCCCAGAACCCTGACCTGATAAAGGGCTGGAGAAGATGACGGGGACCACCTGTTTTTCAGACCCATTGGTTGGGTCATACCTACCTGCTCAGTCAATCCTCTGGACTCCAGAGTAATCAATGCTGGCAGGCACCTCCTAGACATTCATCCTGTTACTGGTCTATGGTTCATGTTGTACTTTATCATACGAGGGACGCTGGACCAGTTTTCCAGCAGGTGCTGCTCCCCACCAATAGATGGAGCCTCTCCCTGCTAGTGATGTCTGAGCACAACAGCATCACTACCAGGGCCTGTGTTTAAAAAAAAAAAAAAAAAAAAAAGAGTTTATGAAAGAGTGTGCCGGTATACTCGGAGGGCGGGGTTTCTGAATCTATCTGCACCAGGGAAGCCGACGAGAAAAATTATTGATACTTAATAATAATTATTATTATCTTTTCTTGCTTGATTTCAGAAGTAGAGTGAAGGATAACCTCCTGCCAGCTTGAGGGTCGGGTGTAACAGACTAAAGGCAGGCCACAACTCAGATCAACATTCTTTCCCCTTGCATTTAATCTTGCTTTTCACGCGTTCTCGACTTTTGTAGGGTCCTACGATGTCACCTCTAAAGTAGGAATGCAACAGGCAGTATAAACTCCAACAAACCCTGTTGGTCGCTGAGGACCTCGGAAGAGGGCGCAGCGAGTGACAGGTGCTGTAGCCTTTGGCTTCAGGGAACAGTGGGCGACCCCTTCCCGGGTTTCCTCACAGCGTGTTCGCACAAACGGCTCTCGAACGTGTTCGGGCGAACATTTTTTTTTTTCGTAAAAAAAAAAACAAAACAAAACGGTTTTTTATTTTTAACTCACGTTTGGCTAACAATTTGAACATGACTCCAAGGCAAAAGTTGCCTTGTATTGTTGCTTTACATGACATATAGATTTTCAGATTTTTTAATCATTTTTCTGAGATTGTTTTTTTTTTGTTTTTTTTTTTTTTTATGTTTGCGTTCGGAGGTTTTTGGGTGCTCATTCGCGTTTGGGTGAACGTGTTCGTGTTCACCTCCGAATGCGAACACGATGCTACAGGTTCATGCTATGATAGGATGAACTTCGTCGGAACAGCGGTTAGGTTCATCCTGCCATGATATGTCCCCGTAGCCCCAGGTTGAGTTGAGGCATCGACTCAGCTTCTTCCAGGCTTTTAGGGTCCTCCTTTTTTGTTTCTTTACTTTTTTTAAGTTTTTTTCTTTTTTCGCTTTCTTTTTGGAATTTTTACCAAGGTTCTTTGGGATATCCGCCAAAATTTGAACGGTCCACAAAATATACTATATTGTTATCTCAAATGCTTTTCGCCTTTCACTACCTACCTGCCACTAGTCCTAAGGCTATATATCCCGCTCTGTGTGTCCGAAATTGGATTTAACGCGGGTTTCGCATTGAAAAATTCAACGCGCGTTGAATTCGCGTTAAACTCCCGTTCAAACGCGAGTTGGACGGGAATTAACGGGGTCCGGGATGATTTTTTTCCTGGGCGAAAAATTATCCAAAAAAAAAAAAAAAAAACGGGGTTGACACCGGGTTGTAGGTTTTGTTGAGGACTACAACCCTGTATTTTTATTTTTATTTTTTGATGCTTACATCTATTTTTAAAAATCAAAAACATAAACACAATGAAAAAACAAAAACTAAAATGAAATGAGTGTTTTTGTTTTGGGTTTCACACAGATTTTTTAAGGGTTAAAACGAAAACAAAAAAAACAAATAAAAAATATAGGGTTGTAGATCTTTCAAAGATGTACAACAATTTATTTTTTATTTTATTTTTTTGGAGTTTTGTGTATTTAAAAAAAAAAAAAAACCATAAAAAGCAAATTAAAAAAAGGAAAAAAAGACACACACACACAAAATTGGGCCTGTAGCAGGTTGCATGAGTCTGGCGTCAGTTGGTTGAGGGATCCCAGGTCTTGGGCCGCCTGTGTGAATGTATGGAAAGCAGGCCCTGGGCTGGATACGGGTACTGGGCCAAACACAGGCCAAAGGCAGTTGGGGGCATGCAACCACCTCAGGCCCAAGGCCTGTTCTCATTCGTGCTGTGCCTCAGGTTACCGGGGCCTACTGGAAGCTTCCTGGGACTGAACACAGGCAGGCCACTTCGATATAGCAAAGGGCCTGCCTCCACATTGGGCATTCGGGTGCTGGCTGCATGCTGCGTAAGCGCTGCCGCGCTGTGGCTCGTGCCACTCACGAGCTCACGGGCGAGCAGGAAGGAGCAGGCAGCCATAGCCGAGCTGCGCTGCTGTAAGCTGGGTGTGGCGCAAGGTGGTCCTTGGGGGCAAGTGGAATCTGTGTGTTGGGGAACGAGGTTGTGAGTAAGGCGAGACACACTCTCACGCGCAGGCACAGACACACTTACACTTACACACACACACACACTTACAAACACACACATACACACACACGCTTACAAACACACACATACACACACACACTTACAAACACACACATACACACACACCTTTACAAACACACACACTTACAAACACACACATACACTTACAAGCACAGACACACACACACACACATACACAAACACACGCGTATACATTCATATTCATGCACAGACACACTCTCACGGCAGGCACACACATACACAGATACGCGCACACACAGCACACCAACACACACATAACTGGGGCGTTGGGGGTTGGGGGATGTGGGGGCGGATGGGAGGTGCTTCAGGGTTTTTTTTTTTTTTTTTTTTTTTTTTTTTGCCTAGGGCCACGTGTTCCGGACCCCGCGCATCAATTCCGTTTTTCCGAAAAGCGCGGGAGCGGCCCATTTTCGCGTTTAACGCGAATTCAACGGGATTTTTTGGAGTTTAACGGGATTCAACGGGAGTTTAATTCCCCCGTTCTGCATTAAAAAATACACCGATCCCGCTAAGTTTGTGAGGCACCTATGCTTGGAGGGATTTTTTTTTTTTTTTTTTGGGGAAAAATACAGAGAAGATTAGCATGGCCGCTGCGGAAGAATGATGCACATAAATCGAGAAACGGTCCAAATTTATATGTTAAAAAAAAAAAGGAATTTTTGCCCTGATTTCCAGCCTCGCTTCAGAAAATGTCTAAGAATAGCTCCTTATCTGACCAGGCTCTGTGAGACCATACGCATTTTCAAATCGCGAGGGAGCGGTTCCATCCCAACAGTGCAGGTGGACCAAGGGTTTAGGGTTGAGGCCCATTAGGGTTTA